TGCTATGGAGCTTGTAGATCCAGACTTTGTTCACCTTGATCTTTCTTCGAGAGGTATAAAGCTTGAATCTTGTTGAAGCATTTGTTAGATCTAGCTAGTTTTGGGTGTTATGAGCTTTTGGTCACTTTAATGCATAAAATATAGATCTTCAAAGTTTTTGACCTTGTTATGGATAAAGTTGAAATCTTTATGCATCTAAACATCATATTAATTCAGATCTAAAGGCTGGAGACTTGGACATAATGGATTAAGTTGAAAAAGACGCACTTTTGCTCCCTTTGAGACTAATCTAATGGATAAAGTTGGAAACTTTAACCAATATGGAGCTATAAGGAACCATAAAAATGTGATCTTGGTCCTTCTATCCATTCCATACAAAAGTTATGATGTCTTAATGGATTATAAGTTAGGGTTTTGGCTTTTGGACCTTTTCTAGGCATGGAAATTCATAAAGGTGGGAACTTCATGACTAAGAATGATGTTATGGGTCTAGATCTGAGTGTTAGGTGAAAGGACTTAAGAGAATAAGCACTTAAAGGAAAAGTGCCAGTTGATTGAGTATGCTGGGAGTACCTTTAAGTATGTTGCGCATACTCATGTGGAGTCCCATCTCTATATGGTGAGTACGCCATGCGTACGAGCTGAGGATGTTGGGCGTACTCAACCTAAAGTTGGACTTGTTGAGTTGTTGACTTTTACGTTCGTTCACCGTTGAGTTTTTGACCGAGTTTGACCTTGGGTCAAACTTGAGGATTTGGGCTATTAATTAAGATTTTATCTGGTTCTGGCGTAGTGGATTCGTGTTAGTTGATTTGCGGGTGCAAGAAGTGTAGAAATAGGATCGTATGGTAGTGTTTTAGAGTTCTGCGATTCAGGTAAGTCTTCTCACTATGACCGTGGGTCGAAGGTACCAACACCGGCCCACTAAATTGTGTATGTAGGATTCTTGCTATCCTTGTGACTTTTGTATGCCTTCCTGTGTGGTAGTATACACGTCCTGACCAGTTGGGTCTTATTGTTGTTACTATGATATATGATACTGTGTGTGCTGAGACTTCGAGTAGTCTACATGGTTGCTGATAACCCACATGGTGTGCTCTTTACCCACTGAGACTTCGGTTAGTCTCCAGGGTTGCTGATAACCTATAGCTGTTTATTTGTGTTGTGCTGTGTGTGGTATTTTGGAGAACTCACTAAGGTTTATGCTTAAGGATAATGGTTTAAATGGTTCAGGTTTTTCTTATATTAAACGAGGGTCACGAATCAGTTGTATCATATCCGTTTGGAGATTTCTACACATGATAACTTTTGACAATACTCTGATAAATGTTTGAATCAAATGGTGTTATCTAGATCCTTGTTGTTCTAAATTAAATAAATACTTTTATTTTTAAATGAAAAATCCTGGTCTGAATATTGGGGCGTTACAAGCTGGTATCAGAGGGGGCTGGTGGAGGGTAGGAACATGGTTTGGCACCATGAATCCGTTGCAGCATTTTTGTTTTTATTAGCCTTTCAGTTATAGCTGTCCGGGATGAAGATGGGTCTGATGATTGTTTGGGCCTTAGTGGCCATGTCAGGTTGGGATTGAATGGTATAGATCTATATGAGTGTTTAATTTTGAGGTCTTGGGGGCCCTGCTTGAGGTAGTGCCAGTCTGAGTCGTAAGACTCAAAGAGGGAGCAATTGTGTTGAGCGACTCGAAGATTTCAGCCTTGAGGTTGAGTGATCGGCTGATGGTTTATGATGTCATTTCCTATAACCAGTATTATGTTCTTCCAGTTTTCTATGTTAGGGGAGAGAGATATCAAGCGTATGATTTTAGAAATTGGAGGACGACCAATTGGGGAAACTGGATGGTTGCGATATTTGCAGCAAGGGTGGAAGTGCACCAGAGGATTCTTGTGGTTTGATCGCCTCGAGAAAATTTCACATGTAGAAAGAGATTCAGGTTCGTAGAGACTGTAAAAGATGGGTACAAGGGTATGCCTTCTTTGAGTTCAGTTAGAGCATGTTTTAACGGGTGGTTCCAGGCGATCATGAGAAGTTAATCGGGAACGAAAACTTTCGTTGTCTATGTTGTATCTCGATTAAGAGGTTGATGCCTCTTGTTTTCTGATTGAGTCTCGCGATGGGGTGAAGGTTAGGGATTCAGAGGCGAAGTATGTGGTAGTTCATTTGTTCCTGGATGGAGAATCGGTGCTTCGAAGGGACTATCAGAGTTTTTGCTTGTGCATCTGCATGAGATTCTTAATGATAGAGGCGGTTATGATTGGGAAGTTTCGAGGTCTCCATATGAGATTTGGAATGTCCTTGAGTTTGTTGGGACCTTATCTGAGAGATCATTTTGTGTTATGTTATGCATTCCAGGAGTCAGGGATGGTATGTGTCTGGCTGAGTCGATTTGAGGTGTGGTTTGTCTGAGATGTTAGTTGGTGATAGTTTGAACCTAGTTGGGGGAGAATTGGGTATGCTACTTGGAAGATCATCGATCTGTTTGAGTTCATGGTTCTAGAAGAATGGGTTGCAGGGATCGGCGGTTCGGGTATGCGAGGCTTTGGTTCGAGACGAGGGTGCAAAGCAAGTTGCCATATGATGTATGTGCTTAGGAATACATGAGTTGTCTTCACGGTAGGAAGTTATGGCTCAAGGAGCTCATTTTAGCTAGTAATCCATTTCAAGGATGTCGATGAACTGATCAAGGGGTGGTTAGGTCGCTCGGGTCGAGTACCGATTGTTGGAGGATTTGTTAGCTCGATGTATAGATTGCTAACTATAGTCTAAGATAAGAAGTGGCTGATCTGTCAATCAATTTTAGAGTTTGAGATGTGTATTTCCACATGGGTTTAGTTCAGTCAAATAAGTTGGATTACTGGGTTGTTGTCAGTGCATTCTCGATCGTTGGTTGTTTCTCGTTTTTATTGTCAATAGTTGGGATGCTTCGAAGAGTTTGAGTTGTATAAGTTGGAGGTCAGTGGACGGGACAACCTTTCTTCAAGTTCTATTGATAGTATATCTTAGCTTCTGGGTATATTTGCCCTAAATTGTTGGATTGTGGAATTATTGTCTATAGCAGACTCGGGTTTGATTCGGTACTAAGTAGAGCGACGAAGTAAATATCTATCTATTTCGAATTTTGGGTCTTTTGGGTTCTTTGTCATCATTTGGAATTATAAAATGATGTGGAATTGTATCTGATGGGTTTTATACAAACAATCCTATGTGTGCATGCAACCCTAGAATCAGATCTATGTTTTGTTATTAGATATACAACATTATGAACACATGAAGAACCCTAGCATGCTCCTAGTAATTTCGAAATTTACAAAGGAGAAAGGTTTACATACCTCTTGTTGTTATATTGTAATAACAACTCAAATCTTCAAATCTTCTTGTCTTGAAAGCAAGTACCACAAGTGTAGTACCTCTAATGGCTCACAAACACCAAGAGCAATGGAGAGGCAAAAGAGAGAGAGAGAAGGGAGAGGTAGAAAATCGGCTCTAGGACTTCTAATCGTCAAGTGTACGATTTTCCTAGGCCAGGGGGTCTTTATATAACTGTAGGGATTAGGGTTTCAGTCCTTATCCTTATCTGGTTGCTTAGCCACCAAGCAGCCCAAGGATAATTCTAGAAGCCCTATCATTGGACGAATTTTAGGGCCTTATCCCCTTGAATTCGTCCACCTTATCCCTAGGGCATCCTTTTCCCTACTTTCCAACTATCATAATTGCATTTCAGTCCCCCTAGTTTAGTTAATTTCTTTTGATCACAAAATTAATTCCTAATTAATTATTGAGCAATATTAACTAAACAAATATGATTTATCTTTTAATATATTATTCTTATAATATATTAATAAACCATAATAACCTCTTTCTCTATTATTTCTCCAATCAAGTTGCTTTGGTGAAGGCAACCCAAAAGGACCATGCACAACCGGGTCAAGTAGTTACCAAATATGGTTACGGGCTTAGACACTAATCCAACAGTCTCCCACTTGGATAAGTTTAGTAACCATAAATGCAAGTAGAATCCGATTAGCAATCGTAGCTCTCAAAGACGCTGTCTAACTCTGATCCTATCAGTAACCTGTCCTTTAGATAAGGGATCGGATGATCCTCTGTTCTAGATATCATGTGGACAATCACATGGAACATAGTCATACTTATTGTCCATCAGTTTGTTTCTCGATCTCAGATTCATTTGACATAGAACTTAATTGAACACATCAATTTTGTCCTGACCGGGCCCGACACATAAGTCAAATAAAATCATCGAGGGGCCCTGATATCGCTTTTACCCTCTTAGGATAAAAGGAACAGATAAACTTCGACTTATATGCATTTAATATTCACTAATTAAATCATGCACAACAATGCGTTTTATAACATCAAGTTACTGATGCGTTTTCGCATTATCAATGCACAACCAATAAGCAAACAATAAACCATATATCTAGGTTTTAAGACCATATGATATTATCGTCTTGCGATCACTCGTGATAAATTCCATGAAGTGATTCCAGCAAGCGTGGGTTTATTCCAATGCTCAAAACTTGTTCATAAGCACTCATGAACGTTGTAGCAAACCTTTGCTATGTCTAATACACTTTAGACAATCTACACACCAATTCATGACAGTCTTCTTTCATACCTACTTCCAACATATGAACGACTGTGGACCATTCGAATAATTCGATTTAAATAACTCATTTATTCAGGAAGTCAAAATATGCAAGATGAAACAATAGGTAAATAATTAACATAAGACAGTAACTTTACTAATAAATAATACTCATTTATTTAATCATCAAATCTAAATTACATTTATCTATTACACATTTTCAAACTATCTAATCTAAACTAATATCGTCCTTCAGCCCAATGCTCCTAGCGTGCTGCAAGTGCTTAACCCTACTCAGTCCCTTCGTAAGTGGATCTGCTGGGTTATCTTCCGACGATACCCTCTTCACAACGAGGAGTCCTTCTTCTACACGATGTCAAATAAAGTGATATTTTCTGTCGATATGCTGAGATCTACCGTGATCCCTCGGTTCCTTGGTCAAGGCAACCGCTCCTTCATTATCACAGAACATTTCCATGGGCTCCTGTATGGCTGGCACAACTCCAAGGTCTCCAATGAAATTCTTCAGCCATATTGCCTCTTTTGATGCTTCGCTCGCTGTAATGTACTCTGATTCGCACGTTGAATCAGCTATGGTCTCTTGCTTGGAACTTTTCCAAGTCACTGCTCCTCCATTAAGGGTAAAGAACCAGCCCGACTGTGAACGGTAATTGTCCCTGTCGGTCTAAAAACTGGCGTCACTAAACCCTCGCACCTTTAAGTCATCACTCCCACCGAAAACTAGAAACCATTCCTTGGTCCTCCGAAGGTACTTAAGAATATTCTTGACTGCGGTCCAATGTGCTTTGCCAGGGTTCCCTTTATATCTACTGACCTTGCTCAAAGCGAAGACCACATCAGGGCGAGTACAAGTCATAGCATACATGATCGAGCCAACTGCGGAAGCGTAGGGTACTCGACTCATCTCTGCTATCTCGACTTCGGTATTCGAACTTTGAGTCTTACTCAACTTGGCATTACTCTGGATTGGTAACTCCCCTTTCTTGGAATTATCCATACTAAAACGTTTTAGTACCTTGTCCAAGTAAGTATTCTGACTAAGTCCTATTAGTCTTTTACTCCTGTTTCTCACTATCCTTATTCCCAAAATATAAGCAGCTTCTCCGAGGTCCTTCATAGCGAAGCACTTCCCGAGCCAGGATTTAACTTCCTGAAGTGTCGGGATGTCGTTTCCTATGAGCAGTATGTCATCGACATACAATACGAGGAAGCTCACTATACTCCCACTGGCTTTGACATATATGCATGATTCATCTTCGCTTCGCAGAAAACCAAACTCTTTGACTTTCTCGTCGAAACAAAGATTCCATCTGCGAGATGCTTGCTTAAGTCCATAAATGGACTTCTCAAGATTACACACTCTATTGGGATGCTTCGCATTGACAAAACCCTCTGGCTGAGCCATGTTAACATCCTCAGCCAACTTCCCATTAAGGAAAGCGGTTTTGACATCTATCTGCCATATTTCATAGTCATGAAATGCAGCAATGGCCAGCATCACCCTGATAGACTTTATCTTCACAACTGGTGAGAAGGTTTCATCATAGTCAACTCCAGGAGTTTGAGTGAAACCCTTCGCAACTAATCGCGCCTTATAAGTGTGCACGTTTCCATCCATGTCGGTCTTCTTCTTGAAAATCCATTTGCACCCGACCGTCTTACGACCTGGTACGTTGTCAACCAAATTCCAAACTTGGTTGTCATACATGGGCTGAATCTCGCTATCCATAGCCTCTTTCCATTTCACAAACTCCGGGCCTGCCATGGCTTCCTTATAGCTGTTAGGTTCATCTAAATTCAGTAGTGTACTATCACTAATGAACGTACCCCCTTCTGTAGTAATATGAAAACCATAAAACTGGGGTGGAACACTAACCCTTTCGGAACGACGAAGAGGTAAGGACTCATCAATCGGTTCAACCGGAGTTTCCTCCTCGGGTTGAGCGCCGGTGTGGGAGGTTCCTTCATCACTCGACTCTTGAATCTCTTCAAGATCGATTTTCCTCCTACTGTCCCCTTGGCTTATGAGTTCTCTTTCTCGGAAAACCCCTCTCCTCGCAACGAAGACAACATTGTCACTCGGTCTATAAAAGAGATATCCAAAGGACTTCTGCGGGCAGCCGATGAAAATACACCGCTCACTACGAGGTTCGAGCTTGTCGTGAGTTTCTCGTCTTACGAAAGCCTCGCAACCCCAAACCTTGATATGTGCTAACGGGGGAGCCTTCCCTATCCACATCTCGTGAGGTGTTTTGGCAACCTTCTTCGTAGGGACTAAGTTAAGGATATGGGCGGCAGTCTCTAAGGCATACCCCCAGAACGAGATAGGTAGTGAAGCACGACTCATCATGGAACGAACCATGTCTAGCAAGGTTCGATTACGCCTCGCAGCTACACCATTCAACTGCGGTGTCCTAGGTGGCGTTAATTGCGATACTATTCCGCATTCCTTGAGGTATTCGTGGAATTCAAGACTTAGGTACTCTCCTCCTCGATCGGATCGAAGCATCTTGATTTTCCTGCCCAATTGATTCTCCACTTCTTGCTTAAACTCTTTGAACTTTTCAAAGGTTTCCGACTTGTGCTTGATTAAGTATATATACCCATATCTGCTATAATCGTCGGTGAAAGTCACATAGAAGCGGTTCACATCCCTTGTGGTGGATCTAAAGGGCCCACAAACATCGGTGTGTATGAGATCCAATAGAACCTCACCCCTCTCACAAGTGCCAGTGAAGGGTGATTTGGTCATCTTTCCAAGTAAACAAGATTCGCACACGTCATCGTCCCTAAGGTCGAATGACTCCAACACTCCATCCTTTTGGAGTTGGGCTATGCGTTTCTTGTTGACATGTCCAAGACGACAATGCCACAAGCATGCTTTATCCATACTATTGGAAGAATCAACACACAACACATCATTTCCTAAGTTATCTACAACCATCACAGTCTCATATATTCCATTACAAGGCAATGCTTCAAAAATATAAAACATTATTAAGATAAGCATAAATAGAACCCTTTTTTGATTATCAAATGAATATCTAAAACCTTGTCTATATAAACCATGAAATGAAATGATGTTTCTTGCCATATCTGGCGAATAGCAACAATTGTTTAAATCTAAGCCTAATCCATTACTAAGTACTAAGGAATAAACTCCAATCTTGGTGACATGCGACGATCTTCCGTTTCCCATGATTAGATTTATCCTTCCTTTCTCCATATCTATATTTCTTCTTAGTCCCTGCAAATCAGAACATATGTGAAAACCACATCCTGTATCAAGAACCCAAGAAATAGCATGTGATGAATCATTAGATTTAATTGTGTAAATACCTGCGAAAGATGGCTTGATCTTCCCATCCTTGATGGCTTACAGATATTCTGGGCAACTTCTCTTCCAATGCCCTATCTTGTGGCATTGGTGGCACTCTTCCTCCTTAGGGTTGGAGTTGGGCTTAGCAGAACCAATTTTGGTTCCACTAGAAGAGGTGCCATCTTGGGACTTTCCCTTGTGGTGGCTCTTTGAAGGAGCCTTCCTCTTCTTGCCCTTTCCTTGACCTATTGCCAAGACAGGCGCAACAGTGGGAGTGGGAGTTGGTGCAACAGACTTATCCTTGAGATTTCTCTCAGCAGTCCTTAGCAAGCCTTGAAGCTTGCTCAAGCTGACTTCTTCCTTGTTCATGTGGTAGGTCATGTGGAACTGGTTGTAGCAGGAAGGCAAGGAGTGGAGGATGATGTTAATTGCCAGCTCTTCATCGAAGTTTACATTTAACTTCAGCAGGCGATCAACATATCTCTGCATCTTTTGCAGATGAGTGGTAAGGGACTCTCCATTACCCATTTTGGCAGTGATCACCTCATACCTTTCTTGCCTCGCACTTTGGTGGTACCGGTCCAGCAAGTCTTGATGCATTTCATAGGGATACATGTCCTCATAGGACTTTTGAAGTTCTGCAGTTATGGTCGCTAGCATGATGCAATGGACTTTCGTGGCATCACGCTCATGCGCCTCAAAGGCAACGATTTCTTCAGCAGTGGCAGTGTTGAGGTTGATTTCCTTCAGCTTCTCATCAAGGACATACTCTTTGTCCTCGTAGCGAGTGACCATTCGGATGTTGCGGATCCAATCATTGAAATTGGTGTTGGGGTTTGAGCATTCTAACACTCCTATGGTGTACATGCAACCCTATAAACCTTGGATCTATTTTTTCTCTATTATACATGCAAATATTACTATTCCAAGGTTTCATCCTAACTAGCATATTATGAAGCACATATACTACAAAGTTCTAGTTAGATGACATACCTATTGATGTAGCTTGATGTCTTCAAGCTTTAAGAGCTTAGCCCCAATAGTGTGGAAGCCTCAAATGGAATCACAAATCACCAAAACACCTTGGAAGAACTTGAGAGAATATGTATGCACACTAAAATCGGCCCACTCTTATTTTCACACACTTGTGCCAATTTTGTGAGCCAAGGACCCCTTCATATATTATGGAGGATTAGGGTTACATCCATGTAAACCCTAATACCCATGACCTTTCATTTACATAGGATCCATGGGTTAAAAGCTCCATGGACCATCCATGAAAGCTTAGCCCAAACTAAATGAACTTGGCCCATTCCATATATATAAGAGTCCATATTTAATTAGTTCTTTTTGATCACTTAATTAATTCTAAATTAATTCTTGATCAATACTAATTAAATAATATGATTCCATATTAATATATTAGAACTTATAATATATTAATATAAATCATAAATATACTATTCTCAAAAGACTATCCATATAAATTGTGCCGGTGAAGTGCAACCCAAATGGACCATGCCGGGTCGGGTCAAGTACATACCAAATATAGTTATGGACTTAGACATTAATCCAACAGTCTCCAACTTGGATAAGTCTAAAACTATTATTGAGTATGACTTCAAAACCTAACTGGAAATCGTAGCTCTTAAAGCCGCTGTCGAACTCTGACCTTGTCAATGACTTGTCCATTGGATAAGGGATCATATATTCCTCCATTCTAGATATCATATGGACTGAGACATGGATTATAATCATTCTCTCTGTCCATTTGTTGTTTCCCGATTTTCGATTTATGATGACTGACTGATCGAACAAAGCAAATCAGTCCTGGCTTGGCCAAGCACTCACACGTGTCATCGCTAAATCATCGAGGGGCCCACATATATCGCTTTTATCCCGAAGGTAAAAGGAATGGATAAACTTCGACTCATATGGCTTGTTCTACTACTTGTTGAATCATACACAAAGGCACGTTTTATAACATCGAGTTACCAAATGCGTTTTCGTGCAATCAATGTATAACCAACTCATAGTAACAACTCATATCTCTAGGTTTGAAGAATATAAGATATTATCGTCTTATGATCACTCGTGATAAAATCCATGAAGTGATTCAAATGAGCGCGGGTTGAATCCAATACTCAGAACTTATGAGCACTCATGAGTGTTGTAGCACCACTTTGTCCACCAACTTGGACCTCTACAAACCAATCCATGACAGTCTTGATTCATATCTACTTCCAACATATGACCGACTGTGGATGGTTTGAATAACTTAATCATTCAGGAAGAGCGACTTAGTTATTCTGGAAGTCAAAACATGCAAAGTGAAACACAAGAATAAATGAATCAAATATGGTATCAAGCCCTATGAATATAAATAAACACTTTTATTTATCACCATACTGATTACTCATTATTCATTATTTCAGTTTTATCAACTTCATACTTGAATTAAAAACACTAGTTGTCCCATGCTCCAAGCATGTACACTATGTTTTTCTTAAACAATAGCTTTGCCATACACCAAGTATGCACTCTATGTTTGTCTATGATCCTTACTTTGTGAAATAAACCAATTGAACATAATTTCAATGATTCTAATTTCACACTCCCAAATCCTTATCGAAAAATGTGAGAATTTCAAATTCCTATCATTTATCGAAATCTGTTTAGATTTTAAACTTATATGCACTGACCCTCCTGTAATAAATATGTACAAAGTCACAAAGACTTGTCAACAGTCGTTATAAGGTATTCCAATGGAGATCAACTCCATGGAAACTAAGTCTCATATTCAAAGTATATTGTTTTGGACATGCTTCTTGCATTAAGTTTTCTAATCTTACACATATAACTTCCACCTATGGAGACAACTCCATAATGTCATTTTGACTATCACTTCTGAATAAGAGATGCCTCTTTTCAGAATATGTCAATATGGTCCTTCCAAAATTAGCACTATACTTCCAACTGTCCCTGAGCAACCAATCTTTGGTAAACCTCAGATTGTCCTCGACAATTGCTTAATCATTTTAGTCATATCCAATTCTAGACTTTTTCCCTTCTTAATGCCTCTGGGCATTTGGAAAAATTTAGAAATGACAAATATTATAGCACATGCAATCGATCCTGTACCCAAAGCAAATGGTACACGATTCATGATGTCTCGCATAAAGACATGATTCTAGACCAGTCTTTTGCTACAATATTTTTATTTGCCATGTTTTCAAAATTTGACTATGAAGAGGGATGCCGTAATCATAATCGAATTTTGAGAACGCAATATACAGAATTTCCTTAAGTTGAACCAATCCAACATGAAATTCATATATATATATATATATATATATATATATATATATATATATATATATATATATATAATATATTATATATATATATATATATATATATATATTATATATATATATTCTTGACTAAAGATGATTAAGGTCTCAATCTAAGCCTTTAGAACTGAAATGAAGTATATCCTCTCCCTTAATTATAGCAAAACAACTTTTTCAATCCCTGCAGCCTCACGAATTGAAACTTTTGTTTTCTATAATTAACATTGCTAACTTGCAACACTAACAATAATTATCATGCTCCCACTAACATGATGATTATTAGCATAACACTTATGCTCTCACTAGCTTTGACATGTACTCAGAAATTAGCTGAACTTCTAGAAATCAATACTTTATTGACTTTCTTACCAAAGTTCAGATTTCTGATACGAGATGTTTTGATAAAACTTTATGAAAATCATACACCTTTCCTTAGATAGCATGCATGTGTGTCTAAACAATTTCAGAACTATGAAAAGGGATGCCGTAATCATAGTCTCAATTGTTTAGACCTTTTGCCATCTGCTTTAAATCTACTTGGTGGAAGTTTTCCTCACCATCATTTTCATGAATCAGAGAGAAACCTTATGACCCTTAGATTTTATGGTGTATGTGTTCTTATCCATGTGAATCGTCAAAACCATAGTCATAAGACAAGGATAATGACAAATCCAGACTCATATGGACTGAACTTATGCAATCTTAACTTCTTGCCACCTGGAAGTACAGGGCCTGCCATTGCTTCCAAGTTGTTATGCAACCAATTGAGAACTTTCAGAACTCCTATGCAAAGCCAACTTTAACTGGAATGGCACAGAATATGTCAACACGATAGGTTATAAACCTCAAGTCGTGTGCTAGTGAAGAACCTCAGGTTTTATTCTTGATTAGTTCTTGAAATTCTTTTTAGGATCTTTAAGACTCCCACTATCCTCTTGACATATAAGACTATCTTGCCAAATATTCAAGAGATAGTGCGGATTCTTTATCAAGACAAACACTTCACACAATTGACCTTAGTTGGTGTTTATTTTATCCAAAACATCACAACTTACCAATTTCAAATGTACAAGAGTAGGACACTTTTACTCTTACATTTGACAAGTGTTTTAAACCTTTATTTAAGATATGTCACTCAAGTTACAATCTTGGAGTATGACTCTAAGAATTGTTTTGGAACGAAGTATGACTCATCTTCCTGATCTAACCATTTCAACAATTCATGACTCCTCTTCTTAGTCATAAGAATGCACTAAGATGACCTTTAGAGGACTAATTGTGATATGATTTCTAAATCATTAAGATGATCACAAACATGATACTAAAGTACTCTCCCATCTTTTCAGATTTGAGAAACTTTTATCTTTCTGCCTAATTTGATTCTTCCCATTCGTTCTGCCATACATTGAGACTTTTCCAATGTTTCAGAATTATACTTAAACTTGTAAGTATAACCATATTTACTAAACTTTAGTAAATCATGACGAATATTCTTGTCCATCTTTTGTGGTGAACTTTGACTAGTGCACATGAATGTGTACTTGATCCCTTAGTCCTTCTCTTGAGTCACATATACATGTGAACAAGTAACTAGTCTTAATTTTTCCAAAGTTGAAAATTCTCATTCATCATACTATACACCTTGTGTTTTTCCAAGTTTCGGTCCAATTGAAACTTGGGTGATGAGAAACTTTCCTTATTTGGGAAATTAA